GTGTGTGTGTGTGTGTGTGTGTGTGTGTGTGTGTGTGTGTGTGTGTGTGTGTGTGTGTGTGTGCGTGCGTGTGTGTGCGCGCGCGCGCGCGCGTGTGTGTGTGTGTGTGTGTGTGTGTTTGTGTGTGTGTTCGTTTAAGCGTCGGTGTGCCTGTTTGTGATCAAAATCAACATCAACATCAACATCAACATCAACATCAACATCAACATCAACATCAACATCAACAACAACATCAACATCAACATCAACATCAACATCATCATCATAAACAATATCATCAGCAACAACATTGATCATCATCATCATCATCATCATCATCACCATTGTCGTCGGCGACGGTGTCATTTAGTCATCCAGCGGCTAGTGAACTATAACGATGTGCATCGTTGTAAGCGGCCGGTGTGCGTGTGTATAGCTCTAGTAGCCCACCTATAGCTCTAGTGTGTAAAGCTCTAGTAGCCCCCTGTGTGGCAAGTGTGGCAACAAGGGCTGTAGTACTAGAGCTAAGGCGTGTGTTGCACTAGTACTACAGCCCAGCTGGTTGCCACAGGGCAACACAGTGTAACAACAAGGGCACTAGAACTACTGTGTGTGTCGTACTGCTTCGCCGGCGGCAGTCGTGAGAAGAGCGACCGATATCGGACATCGTTGAGCCATCGTTACATCATAACGTGAGACTGCTATATAAGCCGGCGATGCTTCCGTGTGTAGAAAAACAGATCCGGGCGCCGGAGAGGCCCGCCCTGAGAGCACACACGATAATCGGGATATTTGGTTTCCATTTTCTCGCCACGTGTTCGTTGTTGTCTGTTGAATTGTGATGCGCTTCGTTAAATTTGCCGTACCATTCACTGTGGTGGCGGGTGGTTTTTTAAACTAGACTATTATAGGTATTGACAATGGTATTGTCAATGAACTATAGGCGCTCTCTCTCCCTCTTCCTCGCTCCCGCTATTCCCCCTCTCTCTGCATTCTTTGTCCATCGTTCTTTTGCCATCTCTCTTCCACTTCTAGCTAGGCATTATATCACTATATTTCCTTTCTCTATGATGTGTCTACCGACATAGACACTGTCTCTCTCTCCCCCTCTCCCCTCTCCCTCTCCCTTTCCCTCTCTTTCTCTCCCCCTCCTCTAGCTACGCACCATCTCACCGCGTTTCTGCTATCTCTGCAGTTCCTGCCGACGGACACCCTGTTTAACTCTCTCTCCCCATCTCCCGCTCTCCTCTCTCCCTCCGCATCTCGCGCGCTTTCTCTCTCCCTCTCTTTCTCTCTCTATCTCTCTCTCTTCTCTAGCTGCGCACCATCTCACCGTGTTTCTCCCGTCTCTCTCTCTGCAGTGCCTACCGACGGAGACGCTCTTCGACATTGCCGCCAACGTGTCTGACATTGACGCCGGACTCGACGAGTCGCAGTTTCACCGAGTCTCCGTCGTCATGTTCTACGCCGCTCTCTACCCGGAGCGCGTCTGCCGGGCCCCGTCGCTCGACTACCTCGACTATCGCGTCGGCATGTTGAGCGCCCACAGGGAACCGACGCAGCAGGCGGACACGTTCAGCGTGCAGCAGCTGAGAGAGATCCTGCGCCAGATTAACGCCACCTACACGGCGACACGCAGTCATGGGGTGAGTGTTGTTTGTGGCGCATGCACGCACGCACGCACGCACGCACGCACGCACACACACATACACACACACACACACACACACACACACACACACACACACACACACACTCTCTCTCTCTCTCTCTCTCTCTC